TTCAGGCCTCTGTGCCTTTACATATTGCTGTTCTCTCTACCTAGAACATTTTCTCCTCCACATTCTTTGCCAAGTAAACACCATTGATCCTTTCAGAATTCAGCTTAAGAAAACTCTCTTCTGGATGGGTGTGGTGGCTCATGCCTATAATCCTAACACTTTGGGAGGCCAAGATAGGAGGATGGCTTGAGTCCTGGAGTTCCAGACCAGACTGGGCAACACAGCAAGATCCCCATCTCTATTTACAAAAAAGAAAAAGAAAAAAGAAAATCCTCTTCCAGAAAGCTTCCACTAACCCCACTTTTTTTTTTTTTTGAAATGGGGTCTCACTATGTTGCCCAGGCTGGTCTTGCACTCCTGAGCTCAAGTGATCCGCCCACCTTGGCCTCCCAAGGTGCTAGGATTACAGGCGTGAGCCACCGCACCCCGCCCCACTCTAATTTAGATATACTGTCCTGTGATACTCTGTGCATGCTTATAGCAATAAAATTTAAGTACTATAATTTTTCTTTTCTGTTTCCCGAACTAAACTAATTTGGAACAGAAACCATATATAATTTGATATTTATAACATCTATCAGTGCCAGCACATATAAGTACTCAATGTTTAAAAATTGTCATTAAAAACTGTATTAGCTTGTTTATGAAGCCTTCCCTCTAAGATATTCCTTGCTCTCGTCTGATGCACTCTGCACATACTTCTATTATAGCCCTTGTCAAGCTGCATTTTACTTATTTATTTTATTTATTTATAGAGACAGGGTCTTGCTGTCACCCAGGATGTAGTGCAGGGGCGTGATCATAGCTCACTGCAGTCTTGAACTCCTGAGTTCAAGTGACCCTCCTGCCTTAGCCTCCCAAATAGCTAAGACTTCAGGCACTCACCACTACACCTAGCTAAGCTTTTATTTGTAAGTGTTTTATACAGACAAGGAAGGTCTTGCTATGTGTGCCCAGGCTGGTCTCAAACTCCTGGCCTCAAGCAATCCTCCCACCTCCGCCTACCAAAGTGTTGAGATTACAGGCATGAGCCACCATGCCTGGTTCCAAGCTGCATTTTAATTGTCTCTTTCTGCCAACTGGATTGTGAATTACTTGAGGACAGTGACTGTCTCTCCTATCAGTAGATTAACCAGCTAGCACAGAGCCTGGCATATGTTATTCAATCAACTCATGTACTGAGCAAACTCCATGCACCAAGGAAGCTCACCACGGTCTATAGCTACCCATTTCCCTAAGCTCCATCTAAGGGCCTGGGACATAGGTGAGTTTTCACATTCTAGGAAAAAGCAGTGATGGCTCAGAGCCCAAAGTAATATCCATTTGATTTTTATTCTCACTTCATTTTTCTGTGCCTTCCGAGATTTCAAAAGTAAGCATATATTACTTTTTCATCATTAAAGGCTAATAGCAATTTTTATACAACATACACACTAAAATATATGCTTGCTTTAAAAAAAAAAAAAAAAAAAAAGACTGGCCAGGAGTGTGGCTCACACCTGTAATCCCAGCACTTTGGGAGGCTGAGGCAGATGGATCACCTGAGGTCAGGAGTTCGAGACGAGCCTGGCCAACATAGTGAAACCCCACTTCTACTAAAAATACAAAAATTAGCTGAGCGTGGTGGTAGGCACCTGTAATCCCAGCTACTCAGGAGGCTGAGGCAGGAAAATTGCTCGAACCTGGGAGAGGTGGAGGTTGCAGTGAGCCAAGATCGCGCCACTGTACTCCAGCCTGGGCGACAAGAGTGAAACTCCATCTCAAAAAAATAAAAATAAAAAGACTAAGTCACTCAATTGATTCTGCGATCACTGCTCAAGGCTGCTTTATGCACATAAATTTTAATAATGCTGGCTAGGAGTGTTGGCTCATGCCTGTAATCCCAGCATTTTGCGAAGCCGAGGTGGGAGGATTGCTTGAGCTCAGCCTGGGCAAAACAGCAAAACCCTGTCTCTACTAAAAAAAGAGCCTGGCGCAGTGGCGTGTGCCTGGTTCAGTGAACTATGATCACATCACAGCATCCAGCCTGGTTAGGAGAGCAAGATCCTGTCTCAAAAAAAATTTTTTTAATAATGCTAAGTAATGTCAGATGGATAGAAGATGGATGGATTCATGGAAAGAAAATAAAGAGAAATACCCACCATTATACTTAACACTGTTGGCCAGAATAAGGTTTACATCATCTAGAAAGCTCTCCCGACTCTGATACTTGTGCTTCGAGATGTTCTGTGATGAAAAGAATCAGGCACTCAGATACACACACACAGTCACTTGATTACAAAAAGGCGTTTAGATCAAATCAGTCACTCACCTTACGTATGGTCTCTAAATCCATTGGATTGACAATCACTTTGTAATAATCTGGAACAAATTTCTTATTAACTGGGTGATGAAACGGCCAAGACTAGTAAATAGAAAGCATAAGAAATTAAATGGAAATCACTCTTCATACCAGAATTTCACCACCTTTGTTGGGTTACAAATATTCCTATAAAAAGCTATGGACTCTTTCCCTAGAAAAACACATAATCATACAAAACTTCTGTATATAATGTAAGGGGTTCACAGATTCCTTTAAGGATTTCTATGCCATGATAGGGTGAAAACACTTGCTCTATAGTCATAATTAAAGTTTCTTATTCCCTAGTCCCATCCGGAAGTTTTATAGCATTACACACGTAGAACACATTCCTATAGTGCAAAAGGAAACTGTTGAGAATTCCTAGGGAGGATCACCATAACAATATAAAAACGAAATAAAAGACAACCAACGGTGTCTATTTATCAAAGTATCATTTGCTTAGAAGTACCTTTAAATCAAAAGCCTCACATTCGCTAGCACCCTCTCTCTATAGGGCTACTCAGGAGCATTCATATACTGAATGTCAGCAACAGGAAGCAAAAACCTCCCTACATCCAAAGATTCCTGGCCTCTTTGAATTCAATGATAATGTACTCTTTAAAAAAAAGATAATGTACCCATACAGCAAAAAGGTCAATATTTAAAATCACATACCAGTCACAACTGACATACCCACTTAGACTCTCCAAAATACACACACGTACACCCTATACATTTTTCCTTTCCCCTGCATGATCCTCACAATATTTAGCACAGAGACAGCTTACATCTGGAACTGCCATCATTTTCTGGGTGACTATGTTGTCCAGAATGAAAGAAAAGGCCACTTGGTCATCATCATCCAGCAAGGGGTTGATAGCTTTCTCTAAGCGAGCTAATTTGTCTTCTTTCTGAAATTAAAGCAAAGCCAAGACAGAAGTTTCCCTAAGGTGTGATCACCACAGAAAAATTAAGGATAATTTGCTGGGCGTGGTGGCTCATGCCTGTAATCCCAGCACTTTGGGAGGCTGAGGCAAGTGGATCACAAGGTCAAGAGATCGAGACCATCCTGGCTAACACGGTTAAACCCCATCTCTATTAAAAATACAAAAAAAACTAGCCAGGCATGTTGGCGGGCGCCTGTAGTCCCAGCCACTTGGGAGGCTGAGGCAGAAGAATGGCATGAATCTGGGAGGTGGAGCCTGCAGTGAGCCAAGATCGTACCACTGCACTCCAGGCTGGGTGACAGAGCGAGGCTCCATCTCAAAAAAAAAAAATTAAGGATAATTTAAGGTTCAGCTAGCTATCTATGACCCTTGCCCCAGAAAGTGTAACTTTGAATTGTCTACGGAATGACAAAAAGTCAAGATAAATGATATTCCAGGCTGGGCACAGTGGCTCACACCTGTAATCCCAGCAATCTGGGAGGCCGAGCAGGTGGATCACATGAGGCCAGGAGCTTGAGACCAGCCTGGTCAACATGGCAAAACCCCATCTCTACTAAGAATTAAAAAAAAAAAAAAATTGGCTGGGCGTGGTGGCACACGCCTGTGGTCCCAGCTACTCAGGAGGCCAAGGCACAAGAATCACTTGAACCCAGGAGGCAGAGGTTGCAGGGAGCCAAGATCATCCCACTGCACTCCAGCCCGGGTGACAGAACGAGACCCTCTCTCAAAAAAAAAAAAAACAAAAAAAAAAACCCAGATATTCCAGTAAAATGGTCAAAATGGATACGTCAACAACTTCTTTAGGTACTCTACATTCTATTCTTCTGGTTCACCAGAATTTATACTTCCCTGAGTGTCAACATCATAGCTGCCACACACACAAAAAAAACATCTTTAGCAATTTAGGCTTTAAGATCATGCTCTCTGTTTTTGGTATAAAACTACTGCTGAACAACACTAAACATTATTACTGATTAGTGACTTTTGTATAATGGGACATAACCCAATAAATTTATTTTAGACTCTAGTAGGAAAAAGTTTGTATTCCTATTGCTCCAAATCCTCATCAACACTTAGTATTGTCAGTCTTTTTAATTTTAGCCTTTCCAGTGGGTATGTAGTGACATCGTGGTTTAAATTTGCATCTCCTCAATAATCCGTCAAGTTGAGAATCTTTCCATGTTTACTGGCTAGCTATCCTCTTTTGTGAAATGTCTACTTCATACTTACACTTTTGTAGGTTTATAAAGTACCATTAAATGTTTTTGGTAAGAAGAGGGAATATAGATAGATTATCATTTAAAAATTAAAACTTCTAGCACTTGCTGCTTGGTTGGTTAAAAATACAAAGAAGAAAAAATTAAAATTCCTCCTTCCTAAAACATTGACTAGTCTCTCAGCTACAGCTGACTTCCTGGAAACTCACTTTCCTTTGCCCTTTCTAATGAGTTATGGGCCCAGTTTTTCCATCTACAAAAGGGACTGGCCTATGAGTTCTAAAGTCCCTTCCAGCCTTCACATATACTAAATATCTGCTACTCTCACATATATTTTTCCTTCTGTTAAATTCCCTACTTCCTAAACACTGATAAACCCCCCTCCTTCAAATTCCACTGCCTTTCTCTCACTCTGTCTTACCTCTTTGAGTTTTTCATCACAGAGATCCAGCATGGATTGAGAGATCTGAGTCAATGAGTGTTTTGGCCCTGTAGAGGAACAGTAAGAGATGAAACCATTAAAAATGGAAGGCAAAATCTGCCAACACTTCTTTATCCTCTTAATGCACTTGCTTAAGAACCTAATATGTGTCAGGCACCAGGCTAACTGATGGGTTAGACAAATATACCAGACTTATATCCATTTTTCAGTGCCTAAAACATAGCAGGTACACAATATGAATGAATAAACTAATTTTAACTCTTTCCTTAATTTGTGTATATCTACACACGGTAGTACTACTGCTGCCTTTAATACCTTGAACATAATACTATGGAAGGGGAACAATAATTTAAGAATGCCTGAAGAGTGAGCAGGCGGCAGGGGCTGCGGATGGCGGGGGCTGTGGATGGTCGGGGCCCCAGGCCAGGGCGGCGGTGCCATCTTGTGCCCAGGGCCGGTGGGGAGGCTGGGGAGGGGACCCCGGGGGGCGCAAGGGACTACGGGAATGGCCTGGAGTCTGAGGAACTGGAGCCTGAGGAGCTGCTGCTGGACCCCAAGCCAGAGCCCAAGCCCGAAGAGGAGCTGCCCCAGCCCGACACCCCCACTCCCGCGGGAGCTCCGGGCCCTGGGCCTGGTTCGGGAGCCCCTGGCAGCCAAGAGGAGGAGGAGGAGGAGGAGCCGGGACTGGTCGAGGGTGACCCGGGGTACGGCGCCATTGAGGACCGGGAACTGGAAACTATCAAAACTCGAATCAGGGAGATGGAAGAAGAAGCTGAGAAGTTAAAGGAGCTACAGAACAGAGGTAGAGAAGCAGATGAATACGAGTCCACCTCTAGGCAATGCTGGCCCAGTGATCATGTCATTGAAGAGAAGATGGAGGCTGATGCCCGTTCCATCTATGTTGGCAATGTGGACTATGGTGCAACAGCAGAAGAGCTGGAAGCTCACTTTCATGGCTGTGATTCAGTCAACCGTGTCACCATACTCTGTGACAAATTTAGTGGCCATCCCAAAGGGTTTGCGTATACAGAGTTCTCAGACAAAGAATCAGTGAGGACTTCCTTGGTCTCAGATGAGTCCCTATTTAGAGGAAGGCAAATCAAGGTGATCCCAAAACGAACCAACAGACCAGGAATCAGCACAACAGACCGGGGTTTCCCATGAGCCCGCTACCGCGCCCAGACCACCAACTATAACAGTTACCTCTCTCGATTCTACAGTGGTTTTAACAGCAGGCCCCAGGGTCGCGTCTACAGGGGCCGGGCTAGAGCAACATCATGGTATTCCCTTTACTAAAAAAGTATTAGGAGAAGAGAGAAGAAAAAAAGAGGAAAGGAGGGGAAAAAAAAGAACAACAAAAAAAAAAACCAGAAGATGACCCTGATGGGAAAAAAAACATTTTTTAAAAAAAAGATATACTGCAGAAGGGGGGAAAATCCCATAACTAACAGCTGAGGAGGGACCTGCTTTGGGGAGGAGGGACCTGCTTTGGGGAGTAGGGGAAGGCCCAGGGAGTAGGGCAGGAGGCTGCTTATTCACTCTGGGGATTCGCCATGGACACGTGTCAACTGCGTAAGCTGCTCCCCATGTTTCCCTGCACCATTTCACCCCCTTGGGTGCTGCTCAAGGGTAGGTGAGTGTGGGTGGTAGGAGGTTTTGTTTTTTTTTTTTTTTACCCAAAGCTCTGGAGGGACACCAAACTGTTCTGCTTGTTACCTTCCCTCCATCTTCTCCTCACCTTTCAGAGTCCCGTCCTGCCTGCTCCTGTCCAGTCAAGTCTACCACCCACCCCAGCCCTCTTCTCCAGCTCCCTGCCCCTCCAGATTGCCTGGTGATCTATTTTGTTTCCTTTTGTGCTTCTTTTTCTGTTTTGAGTGTCTTTCTTTGCAGGTTTCTGTAGCCAGAAGATCTCCATTCAGCTCCCAGTGGTTCCAGTGTAAATTCCCCTTCCCCCTGGGGAAATGCACTACCTTGTTTTGGGAGGTTTAGGAGTGTTTTGTTTTTCAGTTTTTTTTTTTTTTTCCCTTTGCCTTTTTTCCCTTTTATTTGGAGGGAATGAGAAGTGGGAACAGGGAGGTGAAAAGTGTATTTTGGTTTTTTAAGCTCATTTCCAGGGGTGGGAATTTTTTTAAAAATATGTGTCATGAATAAAGTTGTTTTTGAAAACGAAAAAAAAAAAAAAGAATGCCTAAAGAAACTGATGGGTAACTTGTAATTTTCCCACACTTAGCATATACAATTTGTGATTGCAATTTTTGTTTGTAGAATTTATGGTTTGTGATGTTCTAATAACATTGGGTTAATCCAAAGCCTCTGTTAAAAAATAATCTCTGGGCTGGGCGCGGTGGCTCAGGCCTGTAATCCCAGCACTTTGGGAGGCCCAAGCAGGGCCTGAGGTTGGGAGCTCAAGGCCAGCCTGACCAACATAGAGAAACCCCGTCTCTACTAAAAATACAAAATTAGCCAGGTACGGTGGCGGGCGCCTGTAATCCCAGCTGCTCGGGAGGCTGAGGCAGGAGAATTGCTTGAACCCAGGAGGTAGAGGTTGCGTGAGCCAAGATTGTGCCATTGCACTCCAGCCTGGGCAACAACAGTGAAACTCCGCCTCAAAAAAAAAAAAAAAAAAATACACGAATCTCCACACTGATCCCTATCAGAAGCTTCAGAAAATCCTTGAACTATCTGACCTATCTCCTACACTCCCTGCTTATGAATGCCCTAATTTAAGCTCATCATAAGCTAAAATATTTTCATTTAGCTAGTAACTCCAATTACTTCTTTTACATATCCTTTGCTAGATTGTATTCCTCTGTCTATCCTTTTGGTAGTGCTCCCCAGAGCCTAAATGTCAGTTCTCTTCTCACTTACTGTTTAATTCAGCATTCACTTGTTTATTCATTTAATAAATGTTTAATGACTATGTACAATGTGTTCAATGATGGGAATATAAGGAAAAATAAGACAGACTTCCTGCCTATGAGACTTACTGGTTTAGGCCAGGCACAGTGGCTCATGCCTGTAATCCCAACACTCTGTGAGACTGAGGCAGGAGGATTGTTTCAGCCTAGGAGTTTGAGACCAGCCTGGGCAACATAGCAAGACCTCACCTCTACAAAAAAAAAAAAAAAAATCAAAAATTAGCTGGCCGTGATGGCATGCACCTGTAGTCCCAGCTACTTGGTAGGCTGAGAAAGGAGGATTGCTTCAGCCCAGGAGGTCAAGGCTGCAGTAAGCCAAGGCTGTGCCACCCCACTGCAGCCTAGGTGACAGAGTGAGATCTCATCTCAAAAAATAGAACAAAAAAATAAAATAAAGATAGTTGCTGGTCTAGTCAAAGAAATGACTTGAAAATAAATTATTGCAAGACAGAGTATAAATGCTTTAAGTATTTATGGATGAAATGATACAAAAGCTGAAAATATATACTAGATTGACCATATGCTAACAAAGTGTTGAACTGAGTGAATAGCACTGAAGTTTATTTCCTCTTTTATTTCTGAATGTGTCTACCAATTTCCGTAATAATTTTTTAAAAAATAGAGTATTCGTATAAATAGAGAAATATATTGGTTGCCATAAATTATGGAGGAGCTACATATGAGATACAGATGCTCCTTGACTTATGATAGGGTTACATCCCAATAAACACATAATCAGTGGAAAACATCATAAATGCATTTACTGCAGACAGCACAACACAGTATGCTATAAGCTGTTTTACAACAATTGAATCTGCTTACTGGGGCCGGGGGTGGTGGCTCACACCTACAATCCCAGCACTTTGGGATGCTGAGGTGGACAGATTGCTTGAGCCCAGGAATTTGAATGTGACGAAACCCTATCTCTACAAGAAAAAAAAAATACAAAAATTAGCTGGGTGCACTGAAGCACACCTGTGGTACCAGCTACTTGGGAGGCTGAGGTGGGAGAATCATCGAGCCTAAGGATATTGAGACTGCATTATGCTGTGATTATGCCACTGTACTCCAGCCTGGGCAACAGAGTGAGACCGTCTCAAAAAAAAAAAAAAAAAAAAAAAAAAGAAATTTCTTACAATTATGGAGGCTGAGCAGTCCAGGGTCAAGGGGCCTCAATTTGTAAGAGTCTTTTTGCTAATGGAAACTCTGCAGAATACCAAAGTGGCTCAGGGAATCCCGCGGTGCTTGCTCAGGTCCCTTTTCGTCTTCTTATGAAGCCACTAGTTCCACTCCCATATTAACCCATTAATCTATTAATCCATTCATGAGGACAGGGTCCTCCAGATCCAGTCACCTCTTGAAAACCCCACCTCTCAATACTGCCACATTTGGGCATTAAGTTTCAATATGAATTTTGTTTTATTTATTTATTTATTTGAGACAGGGTCTCGCTCTGTCGCTCAGGTTGGAGTGTTGGCCAGGCTGGTCTTGAACTCCTGACTTCCAAGCAATCTGCCCTCCTCAGCTTCCCAAAGTGCTGGGATTACAGGCGTGAGCCACTGTGACCAGCCTGTCTCTAAGAGTTTTACTCTGGTTCAGCAACTGCCTAAGTTGCACTGCTGTTCTGAAAGCAGTCACTTTAAGCAGAGGTGTTGGACACTGGATGATACCTAGAGGAAGCTGGGAAAATGAGTTGCACAGGCAGTAATTGTTGTACGAATTCAGAGGGGAAATAAATTTATCCAGATCAGGAAAGTCAAAGAAGGCTATTCTCGAGGAAGGTGGTGATGACTGTGCCCCTTTTGTATCGACCTTGTGTGTTTGATCCTTATGCCTATTCCTGGATGGAAAAAGAACGGGCTGATGGTCAGTGAATACCCTGGGGTGGTTTTCTACCAGAGTTAAATTATGCTCTGGACTTATTTTAGCTGTGGAACCTGTGCTAAAGACGACTTCTAGGTGGGAGGCCTCACCACTCAGAACTGGCTCTGTGTGGGCAGAGAGCAACCCCTAGTGGGCTTGTGGAAAGCACACTCTGAAAGCCACTTTTCTTTTTCCTTTTTTTTTCTCTTTTTGAGGCAGGGTCTCCGTCTGTCACCCAGGCTGGAGTCCAGTGGTGTGATCATAGCTCACTGCAGCCTCGATCTCCCAGGCTCAAGGAATCCTCTCACCTCAGCATCCCAAGTAGCTGGGACTACAGGTACATGCCACCATGCCTGGCTAATTTTTTTTTATTTTTAGTGAGACGAAGTCTCACTATGTTGCCCAGGCTGGCCTCAAACTTCTGAGCTCAAGCAACCTTCCCCCCTCAGCCTCCCAAAATGCTGGGGTTACAGGCATGAGCCACCACGCCCAGCTCACTTTTCTTTATTCTGACCAAAATGAGGTGTTGTGTTTATTTTGTTTTTGCCTATGATATGGGCCTAATCTGGACCTTAGCTAATAAGACAACAGGATGGGGGATGTATCTATTTCCCCAAATCCTTAAGGTGAGAAATAAATTCATTCTCAATTTTTTTTCTGTAACCAAATATATATGATTATTTAATGCCCTTTCCTCTGTGCTCTGACACTTAAAGAAGGTACTGCTATAAGAATAATTAGGTCTGAAATTAGGGCAGTAATTAAGAACCTACAGAAAGTGGAGTACTTCGGGACCTAAATTGAGGGCAAGGCGTTGATGGGGTATTAATATGAGGATATAAATATAGGAACTCATAATAAACAAGCTTCTTGGAGAGCATCTCTGCCATATCATTTACTCAGAAATACTGATTTATGAAGAAATGGATGAGTGTGGTGGCATTAAGACCTGTAGTTTTACTCACATAAGGTTGAAGGGGATGAGACCCCTGGTTTATCTAGCATTGTAACCATATTACAGAATTTTTGCCTTCTCCAGCAGAATACTAGAATTATTAAGAAAACATAGTAGCTTCTATCACTTAATGAGTACTGTCTATCTGAGAAGGACTAATAAGTACTACGCATGCCTTCTTTAATTTAACCCTGAGGTTACAAATTTTTTCTGGCCAGGAGCTGTGGCTCATGCCTGTAATCCCAGCACTTTGAGAGGCAGAGGCGGGTGGATCACTTGAGGCCAGGAGTTCAAGACCAGCCTGGTCAACACGGTGAAACCCTGTCTCTACTAAAAACGCAAAAATTAGCTGGGCGTGGTGGCGCACGCCTGTAATCCCGGCTACTCGGGAGGCTGAGGCACAAAAATCGTTTGAACCCAGGAGGCAGAGGTTGCAGTGAGCTGAGATGCACCACTGCACACTCCAGCCTGGGTGACAGAGCAAGACTCCGCTAAAAAAAAAACAAAAAACAAAAAACAAATGACAAGTTCACAAAGATTAGAGGGAGAACTGGGTTTTGCCTCCTGACCTCAGAGACTAGACTCTTAATCATTCCTCTTTTTCTTTTTTCTTTTTTTCTTTTCTTTTTCTTCTTT